GTCTCCAGCTCTCAGCCGCCAAGACGCAGGCCATGCGCGTCCACCCGGAGGGAACGAAGTGCTTCGTCAGTGCGCAGCTCGTCCTTCGCGGCCACCGACTCCCGTGGAGGCGCAAAGTGCGCTATCTTGGCCTCACAATTGACCACCGGCTTAACTGGAGCCCCGCACTGGCGTCCATCCGCAGCGACACACGGAGGATTGGCGGCATGGCCTCCCGCATTCTTACCAATGGCGGGGGCTGCTCCCCGGACATCGCACTGCGTTTTTTCAACGCGGTAGCGTCTGCCAGGGTTCTCTATGCCGTCCCGCTCGTCGCACTACGACCTGTGCAATGGGCCGCGCTGGACAACCTCCACCGTGGCGTGGTACGCCGCCTGTATGGCCTGCCGCGCACGTCGCCGATCGGCCCCACCCTGGCGGAGGCTGGCGAGACGTCCCTCTCACTTCGGGCGAGAGGCAGTGCGTTGCGCCACATACACCGCATGTACCTCACGTCCGAGGGATGACGCCTGGCTGGACGACTCCTTGATCGTCCCCACTCGGGCATGGGTCAGCGCGCCATGGAGTACGCTGCGCTCGTGCCCGACCCGCCTTACTGCGGCTTGATCCCGATCCCGCCGCACCAAGATCCTGGTCTTGAGATCAACACCACCATCCCTCGCATCAGATCAAAAAAGCACACGCCTTGGTCTGCCCTCCACCAGGAGGCTGTCGAGACGATAGAGGAGCGGCTCGCCGGCCGAGTCCTGCTGTACACCGACGGCTCAGTCGCAGCAGACGGTTCAGCGGCAGCCGCTTGTTTCGCCCCATCCCTTGGCATCCGTGTGAAGTGCCGCCTTCCCCTGAGTGCCTCTTCCACTGCTGCTGAACTTGCCGCGCTTGATCTCGCGGCAGATCAACTTGTTGACTTCCTGCCCCAGTCGGCAGCAGTGGTGTGTGACTCTCGCGCCGCCCTCCTCACACTTGCTCGGGGGGAACGTGGCGCCCCCGTTGCGCAACGCCTCGCGCGGAAGTTCGCGGTGATCTCTCGGAATGGTTGTGATGTTGTGTTCCAGTGGGTGCCGTCTCATGTTGGACTACCTGGAAACGAGACAGCGGACGCACTCGCCAAGGAAGCTCACCACCCCAGCACACCCATTTCGACGTTCATCTGCGCGAGCGATGTTGCGCATCTTCGTATTGCGCGCCATGTGCGCGCTTTACACCCGGACTCACGTGTGGCTGCAGGATTCCCCCCACGACCGCTGCCGCGGACCGGCATCAGCAGACGTGCCCGGGCCTTCCTGCTTCGGCTTCGCACCGACTGTTCCCGCACCGCTGCAAGGCAGTTTCGATTCACCAGCAGCGGGAGCCCTTCGTGTGCCGAATGCCCGGCAGAGGAGACCACCGAGCACATCCTGCTACACTGCCCAGGCTACACGGAACAACGCCGGCGGCTCTTCGACGCCTACGGTCGTCTGGGACTTCCACACGTGAGCCTCGACCACCTCCGGTTTCCCCAGGCCCCCCGCTCGAGCCTCATGCAAGACTTCGAGGCCCTACTCGAGTTCTTCGGCGACGCCGCTCTCATCGCGCGCCTCTAGCGTGGCCCGCAGGAATCGAACCTACGACCTTCGAATAACGCGTTCGATGCTCTAACCACTAAGCTACCACAGCGGCCTTCCCTTCATCCACATTTTTGGGGTTTATATGTGAATTTAGAAGTAGGAGTGTCGTGAACGAGAAAGATGAGTACTTCTACTACAATCCAGACTATGATTTGCTTTATTTCAAAATACTCTAGCCTAGCTATAGCTCTGTTCTATAATAATATTAATGGCATGCGTATTTAGCTTTTGACACGAGAACGGAACTCGATGGGATAAATGCAACCGAAAGCACAAGTCGCAGCGTAGTTACCTCGAAAACTGTTAACGCCTTGCCTGTAGCAGTGTAACCATGCAACGCAAAAGCGCTACTACTTTTTGGAGAGGTCCGCAACACATGAACAGTTGCCTCCTTCACATCGGGCTCGCTAGACAGGTTCTTCAACTTGAAGTAAATGTGATGCGGTTCGCCAAAGAAGATATATATGTGCACACACAGCACCACAATTTCCGCTGTTTGGCGAGTGAAGTCCCTTATGCTGATGAGAATGAAGCGGTCCGCAGCCAGCCAACTTTCGCCATTGATGAAGCAACGCGATCCGACGCCACAATCAAGAAACAGCAAAGTGCCGAGCAAAAGCGTTATGTTGACCTCGCTAAGCACAGTTATCTTTGTTTTTTTGACCAGTGTTGACAGCATGCGGAGCGTTTTCTGCAGTCACGAATTTAAATGTGCGATGGCTTTATCGGCATCAGCATTGCCAGGTACTTGTTTTTTACGTCAGGCTTGAGTTTGTTTTCATCGGCCAGGGGAGCTATTCTCGTGGTGTCCAATTTGTGTACATGTCCAATTCCGCCTCCCCTAATTGGCTGGAGTGCACCACCTGTTTCCTATCTTACTTCTGCAACATCATTTTGACAACGTGCAACTTTCACAACTCTCCACACAAATGAGAAAGATGGAATGCGTTTCGCCAGAACAAATGCTGGGCCCAGAGACCTGAATTTAGACGCACATCTCTGAGGCCGTGCATGAACTCTAATCATGTTAGCCTTTGAATTAGGTTTAAAGCGGCCACCCGCCTGACGCCCCTGAAAGGTCTGTACGCATTCTTTGCATCGCTCTTCAAATATCTCAACACATTCTTCCGCACGTGCAGACTTGTCAAGTTTGTTCTGTTACTATACAATTAACCCACTTAGTTTTTTTTTTTTTTTTTTTGCTCTGGTATTGTGCTAGCAGGTTCGGTGCGCCGGCTTGGTAAGGTGCGCTATGACGTCACAACTCACCATTTTTTTTGTGTGTGTGTATGTAACATTAATGCGCTCTGGCAAATTGGACATGTCTATGAATTTAACACCACGAGAATAACTTCCCAGCTTTACCCACACGCTTGTTAAACGGCTGTTTTTTAACCTTTAAGTTGGTGGTTGCACATTCACGATTAGCTCCCTAAGCAGCACGAAAGGAATGCTATGACAGAGAGAAAAATGTGAAACCACTGATCTATAGCATGAAGTCGCCGATGATTACCCGTGCATGCATCACTGACGCTCAAACACTGCGCACAGTGCGACGACAAAGCATGCACGTGAGCTTAGCTGATGAGCGATAAGACCAATAAGATTGGTTGTGATAAGAAAACGGCAACAAGAGCGAAGATGATGTTGGCACAGTGCACGAGAAGGATGCACACGCTTAAGAGTTAGTCTTTCAGCAGTCGAGCTGCCCACTGTGACTATTTTAGCTCGGGAGTACTGGCAAGAGACTGCACTGAGAGAGAGACGCGAGGCGGCGCTAACAAGGCACACCCATTTTATTACTACACAAAATGGCGAACAGTAATCTAACTTCAAACTTGACTAAATAAAGAAACATGAACAGAATAATCGGCAATCCAGTGACATTATAACTGACACTGATCCAAGTCAAGTTCAATCCTAAGCTTAATTTTTCTACCTAAGATGGCGGCTCAGAGACTACTTTTATGCGCTCCCGCAATAGTTGAACATTCTTACTCTTCAGATGCCAACCTCAAAACTACGACGAAGAGGTGCCGTCGTTGAAGTTGTCCTGGAAGACATTGCTGGACGAGCTGCTAGTCTTCATTGCCGGTGTCCCAATTTTCGTCATCATCTTCAGCTTCGCTGGGCTACGCTTACTCGTCAGGAACTCTTGCTCACGGGTACACTCTGCTGACTGGTGTGGGCTGCTGCCGTTTCAGCGCGAAGTGGGATAGCTGCAAGTCCACCAGGAACTGCTGTGCAAGGGTGCAGCAAGTTCCTGCAGTATCACTCGGAAGCACTTCCGAGGCCAACGGCCACTTCCCGGGCCTTTCATACCGGCATCCTTCACAACCGGGTGGCTAGGCTTCTCCCGTCAGTGTAGCAACGCTGGTTCCACACGTCTTCACAGCTCAAAGCCCCACGGCAGTGCCAGCTATCAACCCGTTATTTTCCATCACAGAGCTGGTCGTGTATCACAAGCTTTTTTCTGACCAATCTCATACGTGAACATGGCACGTCTGTGCTGTCGGCGGTCTTGCGCACGGGTGCCGCATTCCAGCACCTGGCACGTGCCTCGTGGCCTTTTACTCATAACACCCACATTAGGATAGGATAGATCGCGCTCTTTGTGAAATAAACGTGCACTGGTTTCATTTTTTTGTGTTTGCTTGTTTTTTTCACGCTCGTTAGAGCATAACCCAATCGCAAATGTATACACAGCACAGGTAAGCTACTCATGTGTTTGCGTTTACGATTTTTTGCGCTAACTTTTAATTCTATCACGACGACTTTTCAGAACGAACAATCATTTTTAGCAGTCCCTTGAGATTCATTGTACCAAAATTTCATTGTATGCACTGATCTTTTTTTTCCATTTATCTCGCTTTCTCCCTCCATGTTGACATTTGCTTTCGATTTTCTTTGAGTTTCTGCGCCAGAAAATGTTCTTTTTTTCATTTTGCATCATTTTGTTTGCCTGACGGCCTCGCCAAGACTATAATGTTCATTGCGTAGAATCCCTATTGTTGTCAATCCTTGCGAGAATTTGTCCAGAAAAGGCTTGTTACATGGCTTATCCTTAGCAGATTTTTTTTGCATTGAGCCTATGGGAAATTAAAGAAACATTCTCATATTGTTTGTCTTCACAAGAATTTGTTCTAACAGAGTTCGTCCAAATGAGACTTCATTGTATACTCGCATTTGTGCTATACGCAGGTATTTATGGCACTGTATTGCAGCAAAAATTGCCAGGCCAAGTTTTGTGTGTCAGTACCCTGTTGGGAAAAAATACAATGCACGTGTCCTTCAATTAGGTGTTTATTTGAAAGGAGAGTCGATAGAGGATCAGCATGCAATGAAAATGCTGCTGCACTGTATCCAGTGGAACTTACAAAGATGTCACCTTACCAATGATGTTACGGCCGTACTTGATGAGGAGATGCTCGACAGCGCCCCCACACAGCTCGATACAGCGTGACACAAGTGCAGTTGGGCCAGCGAGACGAGTGTGCACATGCTGCTGCAAGGTGGGTGCGGCCGAACCCAGGCCCACGGCACGTCGCACCCTCTTAGAGCCCTGGTCAAACAGGAGGCCCAGGTGCGCAGCAGGGTTGCGCAAGGCACGCCGCAGCTCACGCAAGTGGCCACCGGCGTACTGCAGCCCTGCAAAAAAAGTGATCTTATTTCTTAATTATTGAGTGTTTGAATGTTCCTTGGAACATAAGTAGTATCGCGAAATCAGAAGGCAATCTCCTGTTATAATCATTAGGGTGTACTTATAAACATACAGCTACAACTGAGAATGAATTTAATGTTTCTTCAGCTGTCGGGTGCATCAATGACTATACCTTTTGAATACGCAGGATAAATGAACTCACTGGATATGCAGAAAACTCAAAACAGTCAAGAAGCCCTCAAATCCAATCCTTATTTACTGAGGAGCACAGAATTACTGCCCCTGAATTGCTTTCTGATTCCCTGCATCATACATACCCCAGCCACAAGGATGCTGTTGATTCTATAGTGGGAAAAATTCGTAGCAAAAATTGAAGCTAGCCAAGGAGATGTTGAAAAAAAAATGATGCTATTGCTCTCGGGGTAACTTGAAAATAATGGTACAAAAGAAAACAGGAAAAAAAAACGGCAATGACATGCAAGATACCCCTGCGTAATTCCCAGCCTGGGTAGCGATGGCACATATGGGAGCATCAACAAGACTTTTTGACTGTCGTTAAAGATGGCATCTTTACATAATTTTTTTTTACCCACAGACAACTTCTTCACTTTGAGTTGATCAGTGGTGAGTCGATTTCTGTATACTCATTAGGCGTTTTCAGCTGAGAAGGCAGGTTGGAGTTGCAATGTGCTCACATTCCTCAACCCTCTCACGCCAAACAATTTGGCCTGTTCCCCAGCTGCCATTACCGTATTTACTCGCATAATCCTCGCACTTGCATATTTCTCGCCCCCCCCCCCCATCGCCCAATAAAAATACGATTTCTTTTTTTTTCTGCGAGTAATTATCGCGCCCCTTAAAATTGCTGCAACGATGTCCTGTGTTTGTTTCAGCCACTGATGATGATAGCGTGCGCCATCTTCTAAGCATAAAGCGTACTATTATTATTGCACAGAGATTCAATCTAATCCAAGCCAAGCCAAAGGGGCAAGCGCGCATTGCAGCATGTTTTGTACATTGTGTCCGTAATGTTGTTACATTATGGAACGATATAGAAGCTACACGGCTGCTTTCAAGTTGAAAGTGATTGATCACACACTTAACAACGGCAACAAGTAGGCCCTTCGGAGTATAAGAGTTTTGTGTTCGGTACTGGTAACAGCAGCTGAAAGCCACCAAGACATGTTAGGTCTTCCGTGTGCCTAAGAATGAAATGGATGGTAAACTATTTCGTTAGAAGGCAACTGCAGACAATTGTTTGTTAAATGGGCATCAGCCCAATACTGACATTTTACTCTAACCTTTCGCAAACTCCTGTTGAATGACCAACGCTACCGCTACGCCCGCAATGCCCCCAAGCTTTGCGTACGGTATTCTGATTCCAGACTATTTGCTTGCACTTTTTGAGTCTCTAAGAAATCTTGCCTTGTGTTGAACCTGTGCTTTTATTGTTGAGGTAAATCTTAACTAGTAGTTTTCAAAGCTTGAAGTTAGTTGCTGGCGTGAGAATCACGATTTGCGGCCATCTCATTTCCTTTTTTTGCTCCGTACATCTTCGAGTAAAGTTTTCTCCGCGTAATTCTCGCACCCCAACTTTGCATCAGTTTTCCACCCAAAAAAAATGCGAAGATGATGCTAGTAAATACGGTACAACCCAATCTAGGTGGCCCTGATTGCTTGTTTTTTTTATTTTTAGGCTAAAGGCTGCTCATGACGATAATTCTCCCATGAATAAATAACGATTTGCAGAGCTACAAATTGCATAGTTGCATACACTTTTAATGCCACAAAGACTTTAGAAGTATTCACAAAATCTTGCATGAAAACATTTTGTAGCATTTTCTGGTGAATTTCTTTAAAGGTTGATTAGCACAATGCCAGTTATAGCTGTGTTGGGAATGAGAGTTGAATTACTGACTGACATTGTTATGCTGATCTCAGCCCTCTAGTGCCACATGGCTCTCACGATGATGATTAGTGTGTACATTTCTTGTAAATAAACCTGTCGTCTTTACGGCCAATGAGAATGTCAGCTCCAGCACCTGGAGTTGTATTCTCACTAAGTGCACTGGTTTGTGCAATAATATTGATTCGTTGTCATAGCATGGTTGGCACAGCACCAGATCGGCATCCCTCGTTGACAGCCACACAACTCGCAAAAGTGCTAATACCTCCAAAAGCAATCGCGCAAGAATACAGCCCCTAAGCCTTCATCTATGCTGCATGCATTGCAGCCATAATTTTGACAAATAAAAACTGCAAAAGTGCCAAGGGTCTCATGCAAAAACTAAATTGTTGGATGAATTTCCACTGGACTAACAGCTGAGGGTGTGAAAGAACGAAGTACGTGCAGCATGCTTGCTGTTGAAGAAAACAGCAACACTGCAGACGACAACAAAGGCAAGCGAACACAATGGTGCAACCAAGAGAATCTTGGGGGCCTTGTTTCTGTTAGAGTGAGCGCAGAAGCCATTTTTGAAAACAACTGGTGTCATAAACATTATGATTAACTCTTTCGTTACCGCGCGAGAACGGCTGTTTCTCATATGTCTCGAGAAAAACGTTTTCGCCTGTTGCAAGAGAACTCTGGTACGTATTGCAGCATACCGAATTGTACACAATGAAATGCTCTTCCCAAAAATTGTATGTTGTACAGCAACAAAAATATTTTATATGAATAAAGATTTGAAAAAGTGTGTATTTCAATAAAAACACTACATATTAAACTATATTCACAACAATTATAATTCAGAATATACATTTTGAAGAAGAATGACCTAGAAACAGTAAATGTTAGTTTATTACTCGTTTCATACAGTAAAGCATTGCTTCGTTTGTGAGACACGAGTGAACTCTTATATATTAATCAGTAATTTGTTTATTTTTTGCAATACCAGCCTGTAGTCATTTCGTTATAGATGGGTACTTGTGATGTGAATAATCCCTCTATAAATCAGATGTCCATTAGCTTCGCTATTTCGTCTAGCGTCACCTTTTTGCATCAGTTACCTCAAACTGTATAGGTTGGCGTTCCAATATATGCATCCAAGCATAACACTTTGCATTTTTCCACATCGTATAAAAAACAATAATATCGCGCGCGGTCCTAAAGTATTTCGCGCTGCTTCGTAGTGAGATCCAAGACGTGCTCCGCTGACCTTGTTGTGACGAGAAGCCCTGCGGCCGGCACCAGCACACCACGCCGAGTGTGGACCTCGCACGTAACCAGAATACTAGGCTATAAAATTGTGCACAAAGGTCCGCAGCTACGCACTTGCAGCCGAGGAGAAAGCCTGAGGCTTTAAACAAAACAAATACATGAACGGCTGTGGATGTATTAGGCTGATGCAAAATCTCGCCGCTATAAAACTTAAAGCTAAGGTCATCCTCGGACTCTAAGCTCGTCTTCACTGAATTTAGATGCGGTAGCAAGACAGTTTTGGAGTGGCGCGTGTTTTTTGCAGTGCAGTTAATAAACAGTGATCAAACGTCAATAAACAATGATCGATTTGAATAGGCATGGTAACGAAAAGTTAAATGCCAAATATGGACCTCAGGAGTCTATAATGACAGGAATCAAGAACATGTCAGGGACGATGTCTACACCATAGTTTCCTACAATATTTATTATAGAGTACTCTGGCACACCAATCGTTCATCCACCATTGGAAAGATGGGTAGTACTTAGATTTGCCTAATCTTCATGCTAACGGCTTCAAGTGCACTAGTGGCTTTGTTTAGTGTTGTGTTTTAGCGTTAGTTTTAGATAAAAAAATAGATCGATAAAAACTTCATGACACAATTTAAATTGGCAAGGCTAAGGAAGTGAAACTGCTGACTGTCTGTTGAACTTGGTCTAGCGACAAAGCGGTTGCACACAACAGTTAAACCTGGATATAACGAAACTAATAAATTCCCAGAAAAACTTGCTATAAAGAGACTTTTGTTATACGCAAGTTCAGTACGGAAATTCAGAAAATAAACGCGCAAATAAAACAAAAGGGGGATTGAAGGCAGAGCTAACCTAAAACACTTATTTCACAGTAAAAAAACTGTAAGCATTGCGATAGGAATTATATCGACACTCTCAGAGGGTTCATGCCGTCGCTTCCATGTTCCGTGACAAGAACAAATTGATAAAATGACCCTGTGCATCGTAACTTTCACGAGCAGATGAAATCGCGTGAGCACTGCTGAAGCAAAGCTCAAATGAGTCGGCCTATTCCAATCACCTGGAAAGTGCATAAGATGACTCAGAACTGCTGTCGAATGCTCAAATAGAAAGTAAACCACCCGTCTCAAACGAGCATGAAACAATGCGGAGAGAGGGGGGAGGGCTCGCTCAAGTAGCAATAATGAACTTCGATTTCAAGGGAGGTCGCGACCGCTGGCACACTTGCTATCTTGGCGAGTATCAGTGCGGTTTTAAGGCAACGAGAATGTGTGAAAAGAGCACGCCTCCCTGGAGCGGCCGTATTTGCTCGCACCAGCATTTTGCAGGAGTTCCGCGATATTGGCTGCCAGCCTTACTTATTATATGATTGCAATTTTTTGCTATCGTGTTTATTGCAGTTGCATTCAACGCGCACATTGTGTTGCCAGAACTAATCGGCCAATCGCGAAAGCTACCAGCCTGCGAACTCGTGGCGCAAGATGGAAGGGCGTGACAAGTCGAGCTCTGAAGACCCGTCGTCACCATGGTCTTGGAGAGTTTCTATCAGCGCCTAGTCTGACATCCCCTCGGTGGTGACGATAGTGTTGTTCGAAATTAAGAAGTCACAGTTTCGCTGCAAGGGCGAAGCATTGAATGCGATAGCAACAACTTGGAGTGTAACGCTGAGAATGACAAGCAGATCAAAACGTGCACCGCTTACGAACAAATGACGCACGTGGACGACAGCCAACTAATATTCACCGCTCTGCACTTGACGCGCTATTTAAACAAAAACAAGGCACGAAACGTAATCACAGGTACAGGTATGGCTGCGAACTAACGAGTGCCCCAGCTGTTACTTCACTGTGCTTGAAAAGAGCACTCTTTTGGCAAACGGCGCCTCTCCAGCAAGCGAAGTGATCTTCGTGCACCTGGCAACTACACGCAATTGTTCAGGTTAAAGCCGTAGGCGTGGGATTCTCCCCACCGAAGGATAAGCGCACGCGTACAAGCATCTACCCCACCCCACCTCCTGCACGGGGCAAAGTATGCGTAGAAAATAAGCGCACGTCGGCGCATCATGACGAGCTGAGCTGCTGAGTGCGAGCGGCTTTTTTAAAGACAATAATTTTTCTTGGGTACTTCGATGCAAAATTTTGGTCTGTCTGTCCGTCTGTACGTTTGCCCTGTTTGTCCACCCTTGTCCGACCCCATCCGCGGCGCCTACCAATATTGTTCAAGCTTCAGCGTTCATACTTGTGCAATTGTCAATTAAAATCAATTATTGCGCATATCTGAGGCACCATAACAACACGTCAATATTCTCTGTGTGTCTTTTTACTAGAAAAGGCATACATGAGTAATTCTAAGGACTGTAGCGTTTATCACACTGTGCTGACCATGCAATGCTTGCACGAAAAAGCAAGTGTTTCCAACGCTTTGCTAAGATGACACAGTGGTGGCAGCTACTGGTCGCCTTGTGTTCTACACCTTATCACCACAGAGACGGGCAGTGCACGCCAAGCGCTTCGTTTTCCAGGATAACTGCCAAATAGCACACATGTCTCAGCGCGTGACGGGACTTGATGCGCTCGTTCGTCTAAGCTTCACCCTCGAAGCGCCCCAACACAGCGCCTCCAGAATACTATTCACCGATTTTCTTGCACAGAAAATCAGATAAATGTTTTGTTCACTCTCTCCGAATGCAAAACTATCGTCTTTCGATGACATTCGCAGTGTAACATACAGATACGGGGCCAATCTTTTCTTTTTTGAGCTTTTATATATATAAATACGTATACATATGCGATGAATGGCGGCGATGACGGCAAAAAACCAGCCGAGACTCCATATAATTGCTATTGTAAAAAAAAATGCAAAGTTGAACGTCGTCGGGGTCCACGCCATGCAAGCGCAGTGAAACTATGCACCGCGCGCACAGCGTCGAAAACGAAGAACAAACGACGCAGACACGCATACCGCAGGAAACTATTTGATAAAGTGCCCTCCATATGCAGCGCAGGCCCCACTATGTGATGCTAAGAAAAAGCATGGCACTACCAACGTGAAAAAGTAGGGATTTTTTTTTTTGTTTGTTTGGAGTGATGGGAGGGGGCATACCTGCGCATGCATTTGCGGCGGTGAGAGCAGCAACAATGCCGGCTCGTGGGGTGGAGGCCCCCCTGTCCGTCTCACGCTCTTTCGCCTGGTGCGCCGTGTGCACCGGCGCTGCCGCTTTGGCGACGACGGGGCAGTCGCAGAAAATGGATGGTCGTACCAAAATGCCCGAATGCGGAGCAATGTCCGTGGGGAAAATTCGTAATATGAAGGTTGTCTCCCGCTGTTACTTTGTTACATAGAGGTCACAAATACATGTGCTTCTATGGAACAACAGTGGGGAATCGAAAAACTTCAATATATTGAGGAATTCGTTATATGGAGGTTCGTTATAAGTAGGTTTAACTGTACATGAAGCCAAACAAAGATGCAAGACTGCAGCTTAGACAAATCTACTACTTATCATTCCCATGCCAGCTCAGGTGGCACGAAATGCAGCTCCCACTGACAATAGCGCCAGATTTCCTTGTAGTGTATAATGCATTACGAAACTCTATGGTCTGGCTACTATCATATTCCAGTTAGGCCACGCTGCATGAAAAGTTAAGGTAGAGCCTCTCCCTTGAGCGTTTTAATTAGAGTACCAGCTGCACAACTACGTTTCGAAATCCAGACATGCACATGGCTAATTCTGAGGAGGCCAGCATATCGTCCTATCATCTTGGAGCAGGAATACAAAAACACTAAATCACTTCACGCAGCATTAGCCTAGTCGAGAGCACTTTTTAGTTTGTCTTTTGATAAGAAAATGCCACAATCAACAGACCCCCGTAATTTCAGCAGATGGCGAGTTTGGATTTCCATACAAGAGACCTATGATGAGCTTCACAACTTGTATGATTGAAGAACTCTGACTTGGGCTCGGAGCGCCGGGTCATGATGTACCACATGGGAATGGTCTTATGATGGCAGCTTGGGAGCACGGCTGCCAGAACAATGGGTTCTATAGGAGCTGTCCAGGAACTGGCTACTAAAATCTGTAGCAGCTACAAATATCTAGCATGCAGTAATGTAATAGCGTGTGATAGGCTGTAATACAGTAAAGAAAGTCATCGTAGGTTGCTTTTCAGTAGGTTGCGATTCATAACGCACCTTGCAGAGCAACAAAAAGCCGCAGGATGTCATTGGCTCCCTCGAAAATACGAAATATGCGAAGGTCTCGCAGGCACCGCTCTAGGCCTCCATCACGCATGAAACCCATGCCCCCGTGGATCTGGATTGCCTCATCTGTCACATACCAGGCACACTCGGAAGCAGTCACCTTGGTGCTTGCTGCCTGCAATATCAAAAGGACCTTTTAGAATAATCGCCTGGATAGCTGCAGCTTCTTCCAGGTAGCTGTAGAGAGAGACTTTGAAATGAGACGTACATTCAAACAATGACTGCATGAGAAGACTCAGATCAAGAAACTGCTGTACTCATAGTCCAAGTTTCCGAACAACAGAATGTGGTGACAAGCAGTTTTGAATGACAATAATGAACATACATCCCCGATATCCACCCCTTTCGAAAAAAGGAACACTTGCCACGTTTGCAGAATTAAACCTCTATATTGTTGCCTGGCTGCAACAGTGAATAATAATGAAAGGTCCCGAGAAATTCTTGCAGTGAACACGCACCTCGGCTTGTTTCGATTCAGACGTTTTCTGTATGATGTGGCAAGCGCCCCGGGAATGTTTCAGTCGGTCACAGACCAAATCCTAAAAAGAATTCCCAGCACCGCGTGCTACCTGGACGACGTTAAAATTGCATAAAAAACTCGAAAAGAATACGCAGAAACACTGAGCGTGTTCTAGAGCAGCTTAAGAAGCACAATTTGCGTAAATGCCGAAAAACGCAAATTTTTTCAGAGCAGCGATAAGTATCTCGGGCATGAGATTAGCAGTGCATAACTGAAGCCGACAAAAGAAGAAGTTGAGGCCGCATTGAAAGCGCCCGAACCTAAGAATGTAGGCGAGCTACACTGTTTCTAAGGCATTTTTTAACTTTTATGCTAAGTTCTTGCTGTGTCTGGCCGACACACTAGAGCCAATGCACCTACTGCTGAGGAAAGAAAATCAATGGAATTGGTCCCAGGAATGGAAAGAAAGTTTTCAATGTTGCAAAAAAACTTCTCATTAGTGACCCAGTTCTCGAGCTGTAAGACGCAGCAAAACCGCTGAAGCTAACATGTGACGCATCAGCGCATGGTGTAGCTGCAGTTATCTCTCATGTGGTAAAGGGGGAAGACAGACCGGTGGCATACGCCTCTCAAACGCTAAATGCAGCTGAAAGTAACTTTGTACACATTGAAAGAGAAGCGCTTGCAATCGTTTTCAGCATTCAGAAGTTTCATAAATATCTGTATGGCAGAAATGTTATTATCGTGACGGATCATCAGCCGTTCACCTACATTTTTGACCCAAAGAAACATGCAAGTTCTGTTGAAGCAGCAAGGATTTACCGTTGGTCTAATCTGCTTGCCAGTTTTATTTATTTACATACCCTAAGGACCCGGGAGGGCATTACATAGGGGGGGATTAGGAAGATTTTCAACATGTGTAAAATACATTAAATATTCAGAGCATCATTATATAAAGCTTAAATAGAAAAAAATTGAAAAAAAGAGTACACACAACATTGTGATAAGGATAATAAAAAACATATATAAACTCAGCAGAAGAAAAGGTACGTAAACAAAATACAATAGGCTCCAGGTAACAAGTGTAGGCGCGAATAACACACACAAAATATTCAAGTAATTCACATAAACAACACCACCGCATAACTACATTAATCGATTGGAACTTCTAAGAACACTTTTACCGCTTTCAGAAAGGATGATGATTCTGTTAGAGTGGCTACATCAGCTGGCAAGGAATTCCAGTTGGTTATTGACAGGGATAAGGGCGAGTTTTGATATGTTTTTGTTCTTGGGTAGATGGGATTAACTTTGTTAGGGTGATCAACATGGGCTGAAATGTGTGATGGCGGGAGGATATGCTTGCGCGCAAACTGGGAGTTGCTGTGGAAGAGCGAGTGAAGATTAGATAGCCTTGCAAGTTTACGGCGCGTCGCAAGGGAGGGCAGATTAAGCGATTTCAGTATGAAACTTAGGCTTTCATACGGTGAGTATGACGACGTTATGAAGCGCGCAGCTTTGTTTTGAACTGATTCAACCAAATAAGTTAAATTTTCATTGTGAGGGTGCCATATTATTGAAGCATACTCCAGCGATGGCTTTATCAGGGAAACGTATGCATGCAGTCTGGTTTCTTTGTTGGCAAGGTATAATTGCCTTTTGAGGATGCCAAGTTTTTTTATTGTTTTAGTAGTGATATGTTCAATGTGAGTGGTCCAGTTTAGATTGGCTGTGAAAAATACCGCAAGATATTTAAAGGATTGTAATGAATCGATTCGAATGTCATTTATGGTGTATGACTTATGCAAAGGGATTAGAGCAGAACTAAATTCTAAGTGCTTAGTTTTCCCTATATTAATTTCCATCTGCCACGTGTCGCACCACTCGGCCAGCCTATCAAGGTCAGTATACGAGTGAGCACCGGAAGGTTGGTTTGACTGCAAATGCTGATGGGCTGTCTAGATAACCATTGCCACGGGTGCCTACTGAGGAAGCCGTAAACTATTATTCGCCCGTTTTAGAGTTACCGCTGACGGCTAAAGAAGTAGCGAAAGAAACAGATAAAGAGAACGAGCTGAGAATGGTGCAAGAAATGACATGGCATGGGTGGCCGAAAGCAGTCTACAAAGCCCTAGAGCCATAGAGCCATATTTTATCAGAAGTTACGATCTTTCATTATATATGGACTGCCTTCATTGAAATAACAGGGTAGTGATCCCCAGTTCACTGCAACAGCGCGTCTTAGACCTGCTGCATGAAGAGCATCTTGAAATTATCAAAATGAAGATGCTTGCTCGCGGAATTGTGTGCTGGCCTAGCATTGACAAAGACCTTGAGGAGTGTGTAAAAAAATGCGAAATTCGTGAGTGTCCGAGCTTCAGTTCCAGCCACACCATTGCAGCAACGTATGTGGTGTTCCAACAACTGGGAGCGCATACACATGGATTTCACAGAAAAAGATGAAAAATCCTTTCTGGTCATAGTTGACTCGCACTCTAAGGGGTGGAAGTTAAACTAATGTCCAATACAACTGTGCAGAAAACAGTTGAAGTCGTCCGTTCTGTGTTTGCGTCTTATGGTCTACCAGTTGAAGTGATTACGGACAATGGTCCCCAGTTTGCATGCTCAGTGTTTCAAGAATTTCTTTGCAAAAATGGCGTAAAGCACACTTTCACTCTACTATACCACCCTCAGTTCAATGGTGCAGCCAAGCGGGCTGTATAGACAGTCAAAAAGGCTCTTTTTAAATCACTACTTGTTGGTCAAAACACGAACTGCAGCAGAAGCTTGCAGCACAAAGTAGACAATTTAATTTTTTCGTACAGAATGACACCCCATTCGTTCACTAATAAGAAACCTAGCGAACTGTTCCTCGGTAGGAAGTTGCGAACGCGTCTACCTTTGTTGAAACCCAATATGACTAAAGCAATTAAAAATTGAATGAAAAGGACTGAGAGCAGTGCTAACAGAAAAATTAAATGAAAAGGACTGATTTGATTGATTGATTAATATGTGGGGTTTAACGTCCCAAAACCACCATATGATTATGAGAGACGCTGTAGTGGAGGGCTCCAAAAATTTCGACCACCTGGGGTTCTTTAACGTGCACCCAAATCTGAGCACACAAGCCTACAACATTTCCGGCTCCATCGGAAATGCAGCCGCTACAGCCGGGATTTGATCCCACGACCTGCGGGTCAGCAGAAATGAAAAGGAAAAGGACTGAGAGCAGTGCTAACAAACGTTGCGGTGCAACTAGACTTTCTGCTATGGGGGATGCAAACATGGGGAGATCTGTTAGAAAAAAAACTATTAAACGGTTTCCTGGCAAAATGACCAAAGTTGTGTCCAATGTTACATTTCTAGTCCGTGTGCAACAGTGCATAAGGTTCTTACATGCAGATCATTTGAGGACAGCAAACAGAGTGCCTGAAAGTACCAGTTAACTCTCCAGGCTGGTCTAACAGTAATGGCACTTGACTTCTGGCTCGCAGGTCTCGGCATCGAACCCCGACCGAGCGGCCGCATTTACACCGGAGGCAAAAGTCAGTGATCACAATGCACAACCTGATCGGGCATTTTTCCCTGACAGTAACAATAACACACGTGTGGGAACTGCTTGTCCCCCTACCACGCCTAATGCCACCTTAGTATTGCCGCTACGCAACACTCGTACTTGATAGCCGCCTGACCGGTTTATTTATTTATTTATTTATTTGAGCATATTGTTAACCCACATTTGTGGGTCATTACAGGGAGGGAGTACATAAAAGTAATAATTGGTATATAAAAACACTCAGGTAATGTCAACTGTCAACAATAACAAAAAAAAAAGAAAAAATCATCAACATTGGCATGACAAAAGGAAAGCAAAACATCAACACATCATCCAACGATTTTTAGGTAACATATAGTTGTCAAGCAAATATTCAAAAGCCCTTGAATCCGTGCACTCAGCAATATGTGCAGGTAGCGTATTCCAGTCTTCAATAACATTGGGGAAAAACGAATACCCAAAGACGTTTGTGCGGGTGACATATGTTCTAATGGCTGCACTATGGTTTGTTCTTCTGCTAATTCTACCAGGTTCCCGTATGTACATACTTTTATCAATATTTATTCGACCCTGGAGAATCTGAAATAATAATTTTATTCTGTTCCTCTGTCGCCTAATTTCAAGTAGTTCCAATTTACATGAGTTTAGCACCTCGGTAACAGAGTCTGTTTTTTTGTATCTTGAACATATGAACCTGGCTGCAAGTCTTTAGATTCTTTCCAGCTCATTTATTAGGCCTTTTTGGTGGGGACTCCAAACTACGGCAGCATACTCCAAAACAGGCCGAATAAAAGTTTTATATGCCATTAGCTTGACGTCTTTGGTTGTGTTTCGTAGTTTTACTCGAAGAAAACACAACTTTTTGTACGAGGAAGAACACACATTTTCAACGTTGCTGCGCCAGTTTAGGTCATTTGATATCACAACGCCTAGATATCAAAAACTGGAAACATTTGTCAAAATTGCACTTCCCATACGATACTGGAAATCAAGAACGTTTTTCTTTCGGGTAATATTCGCAAAAGTGGTTTGGCGTAGTTAATTTCCATATCCCATTTTTCACACCAGGCATGAAGATCCTCAAGACACTGATTAATTT